GACTTTTCATTGGCTGAGCTATGGAGGTCTCCCAGTGGCTGAGCTGTTACTGGGTCAGGAGGAATCTCTTCCTCCTCCTGCTGAGGTAGTAATGTAGTGTCACTTTCTGTTGGAGATGCAAGGCACCTACGGTACCTTACTTCCTGTTGGGGTCTCGTGATATGCATTGAGTGATGTGTATGTACCTTACTTCCTGTTGAGGTCTGGTGTTATGCATTGAGTGATGTGTAGCCTCCTGACTCCATTTTAAATAAGGTTTCTGTTTACTAATTTTCATGCAAGTTAAGAAAAAGGTGCCCCTGCTGGTACAGGACTTGGTCAGTGAAGTGATCCTTGTTGGTAGAAAAAGACACACCATCCTCTGGGGCAATGGCATACCTTTCCTCAAAGGCCATTGCTTGAAGGGCAGATTCCAGCACCCACTCATTTCCTCAGTCAGGGTCCCTGAGCAAGGCACACACTGCACAGCTCCATGCAGAGGGAAGGAAGGAAGGGAGGAAGGGAGCAGGGGAGGGAGGGAAAAAGAAAGGAAGGGAGAAAAGGCCCACAACCTTGGTGTATAGGAATGACACTCTAATCAATTGAGTACCCAGCTGAGGCTATCCAGCATGTTTAATTATAGCTAAAGGTAGCTTCTGATAAGAGAGATATAAATGTTTATCTTTCTTCTTTACCAACAATGATGTGAATATTTTATAACAAACATCAATTTCAATGTGCATCACCTTATCCCTGCTCCTTTTTTTAAGGGAGTCATAAATGTGTCTACTTAGAATCACATAGTAAAAGTTCCAGAGCATTCAAGCAGCCTTTCAGGTCTCCATCTTAGTTGATACTCTGCACCAGCTGCTTCTCTTCACCCATCCTTGGGCCTTTCCTATGAAGTTCAGTCCCACAGACATGCCAGCACCGAGGAAGTCTGTATACAGTGGACAAAAGCCGAGACTTGACGGGTCCTGGACATAGTTCCCAAGTTACTTCTCTGATTTTGTCTTTTGGGATGGCAGTGATAATAAGAAACAGGGCCAGGAAAGTCTCTGACTTCTGCGCTTGTCCTTGTAAATGTGTTTGTGTATGATAAGCGCGATGTAGGAAAGTCACGCACTGTCCATGAAACATTCTGACGTTACCCCAACATGAGTTGACCCACATGCTGCCCTTTCCAACATGAGGGTGAGCAAAACAAAAATCTAAATTGCTCTGCTGAAGGTTTCAACTTCTGTCATCTATCTAACTCCATCTTAATGTTCTGTCTGAGGTTTTATAAGTTAGGAACAAGTAAATATTCTTTGTTTAGAAGTAGGCTATCCCATTGGGAAAATATTTCTGTACTCCAGGAATGCTTCTTACAACACATTCCTGATTTAAATACACTACTTATTCAACCCATATAGACTAAGCTGAAAATACTCAAAGCAAGCTTTTTTTTTTTTTAATTTTAGAAAGTTCTCTTGACTAAATTTTCCAAGAATTACTAAAAATCAGCGACATTGCCAAAACCGGTTTGGCTCAATGGATAGAGCATCGGCTTGGGGACTGAAAGGTCCCGGGTTCGATTCCGATCAAGGGCATGTACCTTGCTTGGTTGCGGGCATATCCCCCATAGGGGGTGTGCAAGAGGCAGCTGATCGATGACTCTCATCAATGTTTCTAACTCTCTATCTCTCTCCCTTCCTCTCTGTACAAAATCAATAAAATATATTTTTTTTAAAAAATGAGTGACATTGTTGGCGTTAAAATGACTTAGATAGCAATCTAAGACCTAGGACATTGACTATAAAAACCAACAGAGCAATTATATACAGAGACTTGTGTTTGTTTTATTTTTTTTAACAGAGGTTGGTATTTTTCCAGAGACACCAGCTAGGAATATAACTTGAACCCTCCACATGTAGCCGACTCGTCCACATAGCTGGGACTACACTTGTCAGAACTCTCGCTTCCTCACTCTTGCTCTGTGGTCTTCACATGAAGACACATGGCATAACTTCTGGCTGTGCTACTGAGCACTTCGGTCTAGGGGTTGTTGAATATGCCAGTGAGTGGTTTTTCCATTATTTATAAACCATGTTGACATTAATATCAATCCACACAAACTTTCATTTTCTTGGACTATAGGAGTTTGTCAAGAATGAAGCCGACATGAATTTAGGGATGACAACTGTTTTGAACAAATATCATAGAAGTGACTGTACAATTTGGACCCACTTCTTCTCTGTCTAACTGTAAAATACTGTGACAACAGTAACATTTAAAGAAAACTGTATGGCTATAGATAAAAATATACTTAAAAATGGTCAATAATATATTGCAACGGTATTCAATTTGTGACAAGCAACCCAAATGACTGTTAAACTTTTAGATCCACAAAAAGATAGTATTTTAAAATTTTACCCAGCAACGGGTCTTAAGCAATGTGAAACTCATTCTTGTACAAAGAATGACTCAGCTTTAGAAACTTGCTATTTAAAAGAAAACTAAGATGAATGGATTAATCATCTCTTTACTCAAATTTGTATAGGTTTTCACATATCAGGTTAGTTATCAATCTAAAAATAGTTACCTTCTTTAGTTAGAATTCACAACATTTTCAGAGAACTCGGGAGTTAAATAGTTTCCTCCCCAAGACCAACCAGCTTAGACAAAATTAAATTGGTCTTTCTCTGATCTCACTACAATATGAGAAAATCATCTGCTATATAACAATAACAAATATTTCCATCCAAAATGCATTTGCAGGAAGGCCCTTGGAAATAACACATGAATGCCCCTGGTCCGAGCTGTTCCTGACTAGCCTGGCCTAGGGCTCTCCACGCACTAGAGAAAGTGCTGGGCTTTCCCCTGGCTCCCCAGTGGGTGGACATGATGTTCGGTCAAGACTGTGAAGCTCCACATCCAAGAAATTCCAGGCACCAGGGTGGCCCTGAACTAACAGTTTCTTGAAAAAAGCTTTCAAATGAGAGTATTTCTAGGATGAAACCAGAAGCCACCTGTGATTATTTCTTTACTTTGGAGATGAAGTGAAACATGAATAGCCTGATCAATTTGATCATCTAGACCTCCTTTACACTGGACATCTGCACTGAAAGAAATACTCAGAATTAGAGGGTGTGATATAAAGATAATGTAAAATTTAAAAAAAAAAAAAAAAAAAAAAGTTCAGCTTTGCCCTGGCTACAGTTGCTCTCAGTGCACCAAAGGCTACGGGTTCAATTCCTGGTTGGGATGCATGAGAGAGGCAACCAATCAATGTGTCTCTCTTACATTGATATTTCTTTCTCTCTCTCTCTCCCTTTCTCTCCCCCTCCCCGTTTCTCTCTAAAATAAAATAAAATTTAAAGAAAAAAACAAAAACAAACCAGGTACCAGGTAGAAGAATTAAACTTGCTTCCTATCAAAAAAAGTCAGTCTTGCCTTAACTGGTTTGGCTCAGTGGATAGAGTGTCAGCCTACAGACTGAAGGCTCCCAGGTTCAATTCCAGTCAAGGGTATGTACCTTGGTTGAGGGCACATCCCCAGTAGGGGGTGTGCAGGAAGCAGCTGTTCGATGTTTCTCTTTCATCGATGTTTCTAATTCTTTATCCCTCTCTCTTCCTCTCTATTAAAAAAATCAATAAAATATAAAAAATAAAAATAAAATAAAAAATCAGTCTTGAGGATAACAAAAGTTCTGAGGATGGGTGGTGATGATGGCACCATGACAATGAGGAGGTACTTAATGTCACTGAACTGAATATTTAAAAATGGTTAAAATGGTAAATTTTATGTACTAATGGTAAATTGTACTAATATTCATACCACCGCTCAGTATGGACACACATGCCCAAAACTTGAGAGAAACACTTAAAATCAGAAAAGATAATGGCATATCTTTTCATTTTTGCTATAATTTTCTCATCATTTAAAACAAATAATGTTAGAAGGACACTAAATGTTGGCATAACGTAGGCAATTCACCCCCAATTAACTGCTGGCATTTAAAAAGTGGTGCTAATTTATATGTAGTTCCTCCTAATTAGTTTGTTACATTCAATATACAACTGAATTGAAAATAAAACCACTCAATACCTCCTCCCTTAAAATTCTGTGTTGATATCTTTCCCCAAATAGCAATTATTTAAAGGTCTCCACCTTTTCCTTTCGTTGTATTGAAGTGTCCTGTTCTTACAATTTGGTCTTGCCCCTCTCTTTAAATAATTCTTGCCCCACTCTGCCCTATGTCCCAGCGCACAATGAAGGACAGACATAGTGGGCCACCATGTCACAGAGCCACAGGCTGCCCATCGCTGTGAAAGAGTTTTTGCCTTCAATCCTGGATGGATGAGGAAATAATGACACTGGATAAGGGGATGCAAGGCGAGCCGTAATATACAGATGCCGGAAGTCAGAAGCAGCAGTCCTACGGAGTGTCTGTCACAGCCCATGCAGGCTCTCATGTGCTCTGTTTGTCAACACAAAGGGTAGAGTTCATTTTCCCAGGTCACTGCAGTGCATCAGTGTCAATCACATAGACACTTCCGGGCAGGAAAGGACTGCAGCGATCAACCAAGAGGTCCTGTTTTGTTTGTGTGGCTCTCCAAGTAATACAAAGTGGTCTGAGCTATTTACTCTCCAACCAGAAAACAAAACGACAGCGGGCAGAATGCAACGTGCAATTAGACATCTGGCTTATGTAGGACACACAGGTGATTATTCAAGAGTCAGTGTTATTTTTGTACATCACAGCATTTACCATACCTTTTTTTATTTATAGTAGAAGCGATATGAAAATGTGAGAAAACATCAGCCTCAAACACATCAAGGAGGCCAGTATATCGGTAGCCAAGATTTGAAAGGTTATTTTGCATTTATTGAAATTTGCGACAGACTAGCATAGTACCTCCAAAATAAAAATTACCAACATAAACTAGAAAAGTATTTCCAAAAGTAGTTAGCCTGAGAACTGTCTATTCTTGCTATAACACATTTCTGAAAACAGCTACTGAAACAACAGGAATTTATTATCTTACAGTTCTGGAGGTCAGAGGTCTGGCCCAGGTGTCACTGGCTAAATTCACGGCACTGGCAGGGCTGTGCCCCCTCCTGGACGCTCCAGAGGGATCCTCTCCCTTGCCTTCTCCAGCTCCGGGAGGCTGCACGCATTCCTTGGCTTGTAGCTCCTCCCCCATCTTCAACACCAGCATGTTGCATTTCTCTCTACTGTCCTTTGGATTTCTCACCTCTCTCTGACTTTGACCCTCTTCCAATCCCTCTCCCCCCTTGTAGGACCTTGTAATTATATTGGATTCCCCTGGAGAACCCAGACCCATCTCCCTAGAACAAGGTCAGCAGACTATTACCTTAATTCCACCTGCAACTTGACTTTCCTCTGCGTTTAACCCAACATATTCACAGATTCTGGGATTAGGATGTAAAATCTTTCTGGGAAAGTGGAGAAACGGGGCATGATTCTATCTATCACACATTAAATACACATGTCAATACACCACAGTTTAATATTTTCCTGGTAGTTTAATACTAGTAACTGTCATTCAGTTCCTTAATCTACAGAATTTATCATTTTTATCTATATAAAACACATTAAACCGGCTGGAGGCGACAATAAAAAAATGCAAAAAGGTATAAGACAAATTGTACAACATTACCAAGTAGTGGTTATTTGTGTGTATGTGTTTGTACATGTAGATATAAAACTATACATGTATACAAATGGATGTATACATAATTTTACAGTTAATCAAGTGGTTCTAGAAAATCAATATACCATAGATTCCTGGGAACTAATGCTTATAAAGCGAGGCCATGTTTATGAGGATCCAAAATCAACCAAAAAAAGAGACTCTTAATGAAAACGAATTCATTCTTTCTAGGTTAGTAGGGAAACCTGCTCATTTTCTTTTTTCCTGTTGTTGGTCTTGTCCAAATTAAATGTTCCCATGCTTGTCGAGGCCCACCGTGTGTGAAGTGACCACAGCCCTTATAAATGAGGTCAAGCCACGACCCACAAATGCATTAATGCAGCTGCTTCGGAGGAAATCACTGAAAAACAGAGACCAGCCACCTGTGCACTGCTGCGTCCCATGTACCTGTAACTCCAGAGAAGGTCCTCACTCCTTCGGTGGCTGCAACACTAGTTTCAGTTTCCCAGAAACGCTTTGCTGGCAGGTGTGACCACTTTCATTGCCGGGCGCCCGGTCCTCGCCACACTTAAAAGACGGGAACATGGTAGTGGCGGTCATTCTCAGTGAGCAGGGAGATCTGCGGCCACTCCCGGAGTGGCTCCTCTGGGTAGCAGACTTCAAAGTCCCTGGAGTTAAACTTGAACAATCTGAACACTTTTATCTTGACTTCAAGGGCATATCCAAGTATAAACATGTCAATCTGGGGAAGAGACGAGAGAGGTCACAGATACACATTTCCAGGTTCCTGATCTCCCCCCAGCGCGGGAGCACGCTCCTCAGCAGCGTGTGACAGAGCGTGTTTGTGGACAGACCCACGCACAGACCACCTTATGGGCATGGGGTTAGGCACAAATGTCCGCTACGTGGAAGGCAGGGGACAAGCGGATGAGCATCTCTCTAGACTAGCTTGAAGAAATCACAAGAAAAGCTGTTTTTTTTGTGTTTTTTTTTTTTGGGGGGGGGATCTAATAAAAAATAAAGGAATGCTCATCATAAAAATTACAGTTTTCCTACCAGTGTTATATCCTTTTAAATCAGTTTGTATAAAAAGTGCAGATGATTCTGTGCACCTTCTGGGAAAATAAAGCAAAACAAAACAAAACAAAATCCTTTTTTATGGAGACATAAAAGCATTTTTTTGGATTTAGAAAAAATCCAATTAATTTCTATTTATCTATAGTAAGTAACCCAATGCTTTCCCAAACCTTATCTCATTTTCCGACTGGAATTTCTCCTGGTTCATCTCCGTTGTGGGAAAACCTGTTACCAACTGAGAGGCAGCAGGCAAGGTCTGGAGGGGCACATGGCAACCAGCTCGGAGCAGTGAGGCTCGCTATTTCTTTTCCGCCCTTCAGGGGCAATAACACCAACCGGCCACTCTGTGCAGCTGGTCTTATCACTGCTGAGAGCAAACACCCAACGCCTACGTGTTCAAGGATTGCCAATGCCCTCCGTAATCAAACACACACCATTCTTCTGCCCCACGTACCTGCTCTAGGCCGCAGGTGTCGCCTACAGAATTTAGGTGATTCATCATGAAGCTCAAAGGATCGGATGACGTTTCCCGGGAGAACAGGAGTCTGAAAAGACTGGGAATGACCTTTTTCATCTTCATTTGTTCATAAGCTTCAGTGACCTGATACAGCATGATGAACTTTAAAGCTTCATACAGTTTATATTCCAGAATGGCATCGGAGAAGAGGATGTTGCACATGCTTCCTCTCTTGTGATAATCTTTAATTCCACTGAATTCAGTCCACTAAAAACACAGCCACAAAAGTGAAACTTAGAAGGGTAAGGCTAAATATACACAACACTGCATAACTTCTTCTTCTTTTTTTTTTTTAATCCTCACCCTAGGATATTTTTCCCATTCATTTTTTTAGAGGGAGTGGAAGGGAGAGAGAGAAACATCAACGTAATAGAGACACATGCATTGGTTGGATCAAGCAAGCAATCAAGGTACATGCCCTTGTCTGAGAATTGAACCTACAACCCTTCAGTCCTTCGGCTGATGCTCTAACCACTGAACAATCCAGCCAGGGCAACACGGCATAACTTGTAAAGTATTTATAAAATAAAACTAATAGAGCGGAATGGAACTTTAAATTTTCATTTTATATCTTTTGATATGAATTTTTTATTTTTATTTTATCTTATTTTTAAATGTTTTATTGATTTTTTTTAGAGAGGAAGGGAGAAAGATAGAGAGCTAGAAACATCAATGAGAGAGAAACATTAATCAGCTGCCTCCTGCATACCCTCCACCGGGGATGTGCCCACAACCAAGGTACATGCTCTTGACCGGAATCGAACCTGGGACCTTTCAGTCAGCAGGCTGAAGCTCTATGCACTGAGCCAAACCAATTTTGATATGGACTTTTTAAAATAATAAGCATTTATTACTTTTACAATAACAAATTAGTTTCAATGAAAGAGTTTTTCACAAAAGCACCACCCACTAGGTAAAATACTAAGCGAGTCAGTTTCCTAAAACTGCCCAAGATGGCTGGGTTAGGCAAAGGCTATTCCAGCGGCAAACAGTGATACACCAGCTGTGCTTTAAATCCACTGGTGCCGGGCACAGGTGAAGTCATTCTACGTGTATTGTCTCATTGAATCCTCACCAGAGAGTAGATACTATGTACAGTTCACTTTTACAGAGAAGAACACATGACCCAGAAAAGTTATGGGGTTTCCCAAGGAGAATCCATTCCAACAACCCCAAATCTGTTTTTATTAACTAGTTAACTGCCACGATATTTTTAATTTAATTACAAAAGGTCTGCCACTTGCATCTATAGACACTTACGGCGTACAAATGGTCAAAAGGCAGGGAAAACTCCAAATGATAACATCTTTGTCATTGCCCAGTTACTAATAGGACACATTCCAGAAAGGCCTTTCTGAGTGTCTTGTCTGGAGCATCACCTTATATTTCTGAGGACATAGGCCGATGACCGTTCAGGTTCCTGGCCAGCCCACCAAGGGCTTCTTAGCCCATAACGTGCCTAACGATCATGTAGAACAGCAACATTGCTCTCTCTCGTTTGTCACTAGAAAGGGAACGAAGATCTAGAAGAAACTGTCAGTTCCTTAAAGCAGCTTTCTGCCTGGGTATCCCACTTCGCTGTCATAAGGAGAGAGGCCTGACATCGGAGAAAAGCGGCCACATTTGGGACGGATGCTTTCATTCCTAGCCTTTCACCCCAGCCGCCCAACACTCACCTGTGTTTTCAGTAATTCCACACATTTTCGCAATTTCCCAAACACGTTTGAACCTGTATAGTTCTCAGGACCAAAGCTGTATTGCTGGATCCAATTACAACCTTGTGAGAAAAGCAGTTTTTCAGGAAGCTTGAAAAAAAAAAAAAATAGATGTCAAAAGTGATTAGTATCTCCATGTTTATTACACACAGTTGTTATTTTTTTTCTTTTTAAATACATTTTATTGATTTTTTTACAGAGAGGAAGAGAGAGGGATAGAGAGTTAGAAACATCGATGAGAGAGAAACATCAATGAGCTGCCTCTTGCACACCGCCCACTGGGGATGTGCCCACAACCAAGGTACATGCCCTTGACCAGAATCAAACCCGGGACCTTTCAGTCCATAGGCCGACGCTCTATCCACTGAGCCAAACCGGTTTCGGCTATTACACACAGTTTGGAATATGTCACAGCATATAATCTCATTTTCATCTAGAGAGGCTATGACTACAGTTAAGGAGAACTATATAGTCACTCGTTTTCTTTTAGATTTGTGGATTCTGTGATATGGATCATATTCTTAATTCACAATTTCACAACTGGTGAAAATTGAAATACAAGGTTAAGTCTACAAAAAAGAAATAGGAATGTATCTGTGACCATACAAGTTAAAACAAAATAAACAAAAAAAATAAGTCTACAGAAACGAACTTCTTGAATAAAACATTTCCAAAACTACCTAGATATATCCCTTTAGAACTTATATTTAACCAATGTCAGAGCAACATAGTGTATCTGGGAAGATGTGGATTTTAGAATAATGCATGTTGGTGTTCAAACCCAGCCCTGTCACCTGCCAGCTGGGAGGCGACTCAACCAGCAGATTATTTGACCGCTCAGCCTTATCCTCCACTGTAAATCAGGGATAATTTTACAAGATTCTTGTTGAGTTTAAATAAGATTATGGGACACGTAGGAATCTGATACATCGTATACATCCCATGCATTTCCCACCTGCTCAGCTTGTGCAGGAAGGCTAGCACAGCATACGCCTGTCAATTGTTTGCTAGATAAAATGAAACTAATAAAAATAATTCAAAGTTAAAAACATTAAGGAAATAGAACATGTGTAGCTATATACATAAAAGTATACATGTTATATTTCTTTGCTCCTCCAACTTAAATGTATATCCTAGATTAAGCATACTGCTTTCAAAATAAAAATTCAGGTTATCATCAAGAAGGTACTATCTTCCGCTGTTAGGAAAGTGAAAAACAAGACACAGTCTGGGACAAAATATCTGCAAATCACATATATGATAGAGCACTTGCATTCGGGATATATGAAGAATTCTCAAAACTCAATCAATTTAAAAATAATAATAATAAGTGGGCAAAAAATTTAAACAGACATTTTTTCCAAGAAGATAATATGGATGGCAAACAAGCTCAACCTCATAACTCATCAGGGAAATGCAAACTAAAAGCAGAATGACACTAGCTCATACCTAGTAGAGTGGTTGAAACAAACAAGAAATAAAGATTTATTTCTACCAAGTGCTGGTGAGAACGTGGAGCAACTGGCACCCTGACACATTCATGATGGGAGGGCATCAGGACGGCACCACTCTGGAAAATCGGAGGGTGGGGCAGGTTCTTATAAAGTAAGCACACCCCTAACATAAGACCCAACTATCCCCCCAAAAAAGGAATGCAAATGTATGTTCATAAAGATTCTATGGGGACATTTATCACAGCATTATTCACAGTATTAAACACTGGAAACAATCTAGATGTCTTTCAGCTGGTGAACGGATAAACAAACTGTCACAGTCATGTCAAAGGGCATCACTTAATAATAAAAAGGAACCAACAGCAGCACATCCGGGGAACCGTCTGGGTGAACTGCACATGCATTATGCTAAGTAAACGACCTTGATTCAAAAGGCCACCCATTGGATGATTCCGTGTATATGACATTCTAGAAAAGGTGAAACTACAGGGACAGAAGACATACCAGTGGTTGCCAGGGGTTGGGAGTGAGAGGACTGGCTATGAAGGGAAACGAGGGAAGCTTTGGGGTAGCAGTTACACACTGTGTTTGTCAAAACTCAAATATAGTAAAACTGTGAATTTTAGTAGCCCACCTTACATATAAAGGACAGATGCCTCTCTCGATGGCATTAAAAACAAAACTGAGTATGATTACCTTTCTGAGATGGTCTGTCAGCAAACGGACATGAGCAACAGAGGACCTGGTTAAAGGCTCTTTCAGAGTTCCTTCCATCTCAGGCCACCCTGCACCCCGGGCCGCTGCCCACAGGAGCCCGGAGTGGCCGTGTCACAGTCACCATCAGGGTGGGTCTCAAGTGTTTCCCGTGTGAGGACATACCTTCACAATGTCTTTTTCTTTCATCCAGGATGGGAAAGAAAGGCCCTGGCTGAATATCTGGAATAACACGGATCTCAGTGCATCGTAGTTATCTCTCTTTACTTGTCGAACACATTTAATGTGATGCCGCCAAAACAGCTCCTCATAAGCCTGGTGGCACAGAAAGAGAAAGTTCTTTTTCAAAGTCCACCAGATAAGAAGTTAAGGAAAGTGAGTTTAACACATTTTCAGTGAAACGTACTCCCTACTAAAGCAGACAATACAAACAAAAACAATTACAAGCGATGCGTTGGGCCATACGTCATTTCAAAGTGTGACTAGTCTGTAGAGAGACAGTGCCATGCTAGACAGCAAGTTCCCAGAAGCCCCCGGGCCAGGGAATGTCACTGTGGGGATCCCACGGCCAGCTTGATCACAGTGGAAAACGCTGGACACTTTAAAACCATGCTAAGAACTACTTTAAATGCTCCACTTTCTTCCTCCTCCTCCTCCTTCTCTTCCTCCTCTTCCTCCTCTTCCTTCTTTTGCTAGGCAGCACTGCTGGGGATGTTTACCAAGACTTAGCCAATGGAAAATTCTGAAAATCCTCTAAATACTTTTGCTAAGGGGACTGATCCCTGCAACAACAGAAATCTTCCCTCCTGTGCGGAGTTTTCACAGGCCCAGCCAGGAGGGCTGAAAAGAGCCCCTTTTCAGATTTCTGACATCACGGACTGAGTTTACCCCTGTTCTCGAAGGCACTGGCTGTAGGTAAAAGGCCCAAAGCCAGCGGTCTAGCAGCTGTTTGGCTTTTAAATTAGAGCCACCGTTGTCCCTTGTGCCACATTTGGTATTGACTGGGTCCATGAAGCAGAACGGGCTGTTTGTTTCCTGACTTTTCCACACACGCCCTCCATCTTCCATGACCTCGACAAACAGACATACCTTCCTCATCAGCTTGGCTCGGGGCGTGTCCCCTTTCCATTCTCTTGCACAATAGCTGAGTAAATCAACTTCCGCCTCCACACTGAGGTTCCCTGAACCAAAGGAAAAAGAGAAGGCAGTTAATTTTCCCTTTCCTCTTCCTTCGTGAAACCTCTCGGCATCTTAAAAATAAGGGAAGATGTGCATGAAAACACTTACTTTTGAATTTTCTTTGCAGATATCCACTCCACCTAAAAGATAAAGGAAATAATAATACCAAAAACTGGGACGAGGCTATTTAAAAATCGGAAGATGCTATAATACAACCACCTACCATTTCAGCCGGTGCCCTACATGGAAGTGCAGCCTTCGGAAGTAGCAGAGGGCGGCCACCAGGAAGGAAACCGCCAACATCACCGACCCCTTTGCTATTCCCCACGCGATGTCTAAGGCGTGGCTTGTGACGAGTGCCCAGGAGTGAACTTGGTCATTTCCTACAAAAATTTAATTGGGAAAAAAAAAAAAATCACATCACAATTCCATAAGTTTGCTTGGTTCAAGGGAGGGAAAAAGACACATTGGATAATTTTACCTGCAGTGTCTATGACTGATTTACATAAACACTGTTTACAACATTCAAACATTCAATCTGAGAAATTAAAGAAACGCCTAGTTCTCCTATATAATCAGTGTCATCTACTAGAATAGCTTTGTTCCCAAAATGTAAGAGGAAGAGCGGAAACAGAGGGAGTGTGGCTTTCAGAATGCCTCAGACCTGGGCCCAAAGCCTGCTTCTCCTCCTAACCTGGCTGTGTGGCTGCGGGAAGTCTCCCCCGCTTTATGTGGCTTGTCTTCATTGTAAAAGAGGGGTAAGCCACTGGCCCCTGGGGAAAGATGGAATGACATGATCTAGGAGCCAGCACAGCATGCCATGCAAGGTGCTGAAAATACAGGGATGCCAGGGCTTCAGCCGGGCACCTAGCACATGGGGGAGGGGGACAATCACAGCAGGGGCCTCTAGTGATGCCGCCACCATCCCCTTCTGCCCACTATGATATTCTTTTTGTTTCTTTCTTTTTTTTTTCTCTAATACATTTTATAGATTTTTTTACAGAGAGTTAGAAACATCAATGAGAGAGAAACATCCATCAGCTGCCTTCTGCACACCTCCTACTGGAGATGTGCCCACAACCAAGGTACATGCCCTTGACCGGAATCGAATCTTGGAGTCTGAAGGCCAACGCTCTATCCACTGAGCCAAACTGGTTAAGGCCCACTATGACATTCTTAATCAACACAGGCCATATCAGGACATCACCCTGCTGCACGGGATGGGTGACTCAGTCACCATTGCCGGCCAGCGGCCCTTAGGAGCCATGGAGAGAGCTGTGCTGCTGGGTCCACACTCCCACTCCTGATTTGACAGGAGAGGCACCTGACAGGCCTGGAGGGCTCAAAAGGGGCACGTGCAGTATTTCACCAAGTGTGGAGATTCCTAAGGATGCTGTGTTTGCGCATGTGAAATGCTGAAGCCCAAATGAGGAAGAGGACTTCTGGACGGGGGCCAAACCTCCTGGGGTTCGTTGTGAAACAGTTTCTTCCGCAGTGTGGGGCTTAGGAAAATTCCAGTGATTTACGGAGTGAAAGCTTCACCAGTTTGGAGTCTACACTGTTAGCATTTTTTATCATCCTTGATGTGCAATTACACTCTCAAAGAATTTACCAGGAGAGAAAGAAGTGGAAAAAAAAAAAATCCAGCAAATAAAAATACATATCATTTTTATTTTATTACTTAACAGGTGTTTATGGTTTAGAATTGATTAAATATTCATTATAGACTTATTCCTACCTAGAAATTTAGTAAAACTTCTTACGAATTGTTTAAAAATGTAGAGCCATACTGCTTTACATCTATAATTTAGACTTTTATTAATTCAGTCTGATTTCCCAACTTTGAAAATTCTGGTATATGCAAATATTTTTAATAAGTCCTTAAATTCACATATAAACTAGAATATTGTCTGTGATGCATAATTTCTCCTATTGTGGTCATAAACATTTCTAGAAAAATGGAATGCTGCACAAGATTTGTTTTTTCTCTTCATATCAACACCATATCAAATTATACGTTGAACATCTTTTAATATCACTACATAGATGTACATTATTCTTTTTTTTTTTTAATCCTCACCCTGAGGATATGTTTTTCATTGATTCTAGAGAGAGGGAGGGAGAAAGAGAAACATTGATTGGTTGCCTCCTGTATACTTCCTGACTGGGGATTGAGCCCACAACCTGGGCATGTGACCAGAAATTGAACCCTCAACCCTTCGGTGCATGGGATGATGCTCCAACCAACCAAGCCACACTGGCCAGGGCTCCAATATTCCTTTTAAAGAATGCATAATACATTTCAGTATAAAGACAGACCATCACCTCCCTAACCATTGCCTAATTGATAAACATTTTCTTGTTTCCATTTTCTACTTACAAACATTGCTGAGACAAACATTCTCTAACAACCCTTGTGGCTCATGACAGCTCTTAGCTTAATTTCAAGAAGAGGAAACTCTGGGTCAAAGGGTGTGCACATTTTTAGTTTTGACAGATGTTACCAAAGTGCCTTCCAAAACAGCACTGCCAATTAACACTCCCACCCCGGGCCCTGGAGCGCCCATTTCCCTGAATCCCACACCAGCTATGAATTATCGCTGCAGTCTGCACTTCTTTCTTTGTGAAGAGCCTCTCCCTGCATCTGCCTGCCTCCCACTGGGCGGTCTCATCTGTCCATGGACTTGGAGAGCACGTGGTCTCTCAGGGGGGCTTGGCTGCGCCCTCAGAGGGGCTCTGCTCTCACGTGTCACAGATTCCACCTGACCCGCTGAAGGCCACTAGGGTATTTGATTTGAGGCCCCACACAAGGGCCTTCTGAGCAGCTGCCCAGGCCTCCAGCAGGACCCACTGCAAGCCATGGTTCTCCCTGCTCCTACACACACACACACACACACACACACACACACACACACACACACACACTTCTCTGGCCTCCAGGCCTTATGCTCAAAATGAAACCCTGCCTACAACCCAAGAAAGGGTAACAGTATCAGCTTATCAGAAAGTCACATGAGGCTCAATCCTGCCTTCTCAGGCATGCCTCGCACAGAAGCCTGCACTCCCAGGGACCCCTGCCTGGTGTGCCCACAGTTTTTGGTCAATTGACTCAAACCAGGCTATCTTGCCTTTGAATTACGTAGCTGAGAAATCTTCCAATCAGCTTTGCTGCTGCAATTAAAACCTTTAAAGAGAGAATAAAAAATTCCTGCATGTGTCAATAACTGGATGTCCCCAGATAGGGAACACCATAAGTTAGGGACCTCGCAAACCCGATCATGACCCCCAACTTTGATGATGCCCGAGTCAAATCTCATCTCCTCAAGCAGGCTGAGATCAAATCAAATTCCCCATGTTATTCTTCACCTGGGTCCCCCTTCTGCGGGCCTGCCACGGAGAACTCAGCAACTGTCCACTCACCCCTCCACACCCCGCACACACCTGCCCAGGAGAAGTCCTCTCCCTAACACAGAACTGGCTTCATGGGATCTGGCACATGGGTAGGAAAGGAGAGAAGGCCCCACCACCAGGGATTCAGTCATTCGACATCCTAATAAGAGCAGCCAGAGCGAGGGCAAGAAGCAAAGGGAGTGTGGGTGGCAGGCGGCTTTGGAGAATCGCCAGGTGGTGAGGGAGGCAAGGCGACACAGGAAACAGAAGCACTGCTGGGAGTTACAGACTTGATCCTCTAATGCTCGTCAAGTGACAACAATGGAAATTGCTTTTTAATACTTTGGACTGGACCGCTTGGGTGGTGGCTGACAGGAGGCGCTATAGACAAGCACCAGATGTTTCTATCAGCTGAGAAGGCGGACTAACTAGGCTCACACGCTGACCCCGTCATCAGCACCCAAACATACCCAGAGACCCCAACTCACACTTAGCAAAGACACCCCAAGTAATTCCCAAAACCTCCAGAAATCAACAGCACGGCTGAGACTACAATCTCATCTGTGACCTCAGACTATATATGGCAGATGAGACCACAGACTAAAACTGGGGGGAATGCCACCGTTTCTTGTGGTAAAATTCTACTTAGAATTTTTTTCCGTTCTCTAAAATGTACTAAAGCTGAAATAATTCAAACAGGAAACCAAAAAGAAAAAAGAAAGAAAGAAAAACACCTGAAAACAAAACTAAAAGACACTGAAGAGCCGGAAACGGGTGAGCAGGCAGAGACCACCCCCCGGGAGCCCCAGGCTCGCTCTCACAGAAACTCCTCAATGTCTAGTTGGCCTGGGCCTTCCATGCTGCTCCAGGCCTTCACCACTTCTCCTTCCTCACGGCCTGCCACACTGTCCCCTTCTCCTCCCCATCTCTGCAGCACGGCAGGCCTGGGCCCTCTGAGCACTGATCTCCCAGCCTGGGGACTTCCACCTGCAGCAGAGATGGTGGGTCAAGGGCTACTGAGTGGGCCACGGAGGGGAAAATCAGGCCTGAGCGAAAAGGCAGTTTCAGGGCAATGTCTGAGACAGCAGAGGGGATAGAGATAGATACGCACATTAAAATCATCTTGCTAGAAACACTGAAGGTAACAAGTGCTAAGTTTGATTTATTAAATATACCAGCTATTTCTATCTGCTGCAATGCCACGTGACGGTTAATCTCCAGGAGATAGAAGAAAGGTGGATTAGGAAGCAGACAGAGGGGGTGGGAAGCTGCCATCCCAGCAGCTGTAAAGCAGTGGGAGAGACGGGGGGCGGAGTGCCGAGGGAAGGACACAAACACACACACACACACACACACACACACACACACGCACATCAGAGGTGTTGGGTAAATTTTCCATGCTTTTCTGAGCTGTATCATGGAACACTAAGCCCTTTGAAAAACACGACTCCTCCTGGGTGATTCTGAGAGGAGTACACTGGGCTGAGTGGGCAGGGAAGGGCCTGGAAAGACCTTTTCCCCTTGCCCTCACCCTTTGCTTATACTTCTTCCCATGTGGGCTGGGCACTGGGCTGGCAGGCGGTGAGGTGACATGAGAGATGCACAGCCCGTTCCGGCCGGCTGGCTCCGTTCGTGGGAGCATCATCAGTAAGAATATGAGGATAAAGTCAGGGAGGAAAAAAGAAAAACATACAGCCTGCCCTCAGGGAGCACATGATCTGCTGGAGTGATGTCTTGTCCAGGCCCACAGTGCCACCCCCCACGCACCCCGGGGTCAGCGCCTCCTGGAGTCGGGGACAGGCCGGATGTCACACAGAATAACACGGGCCCTGGGAGCCACAGGTGGCAGCAGACCTCCGTTCCCCAGTGGGCCAGCTCTCCCAGAGGTCAGTGTGAGGAACTCCGAGGCTCCAGAATAAAGCTTTTGTCCAGACAAACTCAGCAATGTGGGGACAGAATGATGGACATGCAGAACAATGCTGACAGGCCACCA